TTTGGGTTCCCTATTCTCAATTTCCAGCTCCAACAGGCTGTAGGGTCCTCAGTTCCCAGTCTTGGAAGACTTTGGGGTCCCATTCCCAATTTCCATCCCTAGCACGCTTTGGGCTCCCCAATTTCCACTGCTGGAAGGACTTAGGGTCTTCACCCCCAATTCCCAGCCCCAACAGCCTTTGGGATCCCCAATTTCCATCCCTATCAGGCTCTGGGGTTCCCAACCCCAATTACTAAATCTGGCAGGACCTGGCTTCCCAATTCCCAACCCTGGCGGGCTCCGGGGTCCTCAATTCCCGGTGCTGGCAGGCTTTGGGATCCCTATTCCCAATTTCCATCCCCAACAAGCATTAGGGTCCCCAATTCCCAGCACTCATGGCTTTTCCTGAACCCGTAACCCCATGTCTCCCTTTCCCCACCTGCATTGTTCTAACATCCCCTGGTAGAAGTTACTTCCCTTTTCTTACCCAAAACTACCCCAAATCCCTCCTCTCACCCCCAAACTTACAGGAATTGCAGCAGAGAATTCCTCTCCATGGCATCCCTCTCCCCTGCCTCTCCCCAAAAGCACCAGCCATCCATTTATTTTCCTTTTTTATTTGTTAAACTGCTAAAAATTCATTGGGATGGGGGCAGATGACCCCATTAACCCCCCAAAAATGTACAGAAGATTTTAAATATCACCAGAATCACTTCCCATTCCTGTGCTCAGCCAGAGAATGACGGAGGGGACACCTGAGTCGCGGGGGGGAGACACCTCGCTCACAGCACCAGCGGCTCCTGTGGGATTTGAGGGGGAGGGATCAAAATTTGGGGTGAATTTAGCACTGATGGCGCAGAACATGCGTTTCTGCGATCACTGGGAATGGAGAAGGGACGGCCCCGGCCGCTCAGTGGTATTTGGGAGCGGGTAAGGATGTAAATGTTGGGAAAACACCCTATGGGGGATGTTCTGTGTACAGAGAAGGACATCAACTCGTCATCTATCCCTTTTTTGACTCTTTTTGGGGTGGACAACAAAACACATGCAAAGGGGAGGTGGGATCAATGCTGAAGCCCTGTGCACCTTCCCCATGGCCAAGCTTGGAGAAGGAATATTCCACAGCTCACTCTAGGTGCTCCTGAGGACTTTTTTTGGGGGAAAATTGCGTTTTGCTTTCCCTTAGGACAAATCAAATCATTTTGGGATGAACGGGAGAGGTTGGATTTGATGAGGGGTTTATTTACAGAAGTGGAAATGCCACGGATAAAGCAAATCCCTCCCCATCCCTCGTGGCTGGGATGAGATTTAAGGCTCCGACCGGCAAAAAGCTCAGTGGGATGGAGGGGAAAAAAATTAGGGAAAAAGGGACCACGTCATGGCACTGCCGGTTTGGGGAGGGTTCCTTATATTTTGGGTGCTGGAGGTTGTTGATCAAAACCTGACAGAATCTGCCCATTTTTCTCTCCCCTTGAGGGGAAGGGAAGGAGGGAGGTTGTCCCAGAAGGACGCACAGGTTCAATCCCTTCGGATTTTAAGTTGCTCTTTGCGGAAAGAGGCACATGCAAAGATGAGGTGTAGCAACTGCACTGAGGCTGCTCACGCACTCAAATTCACCAGTATTCATCCTCTTCCCTGGAAAGCCTCACCCTGTTCCCAGGCTACATGGGGCTGGTTCAGCCTTGAATGGGCTTGGGATTGAGTGAAATTAAACCTTTAAATCTGGAAGGGAATTAGCAGCCAAATTCCTCACTTTCTGGGGAATAATGGGATTTTCAGGGTATTTTTGCTGATCAAACGGGATCAAGGGTGATCCTTAAGCCTGACCTATCATGGAACAGGGAGAGGAGGGAGATAACCCCCAGCTAATCCATATTTTTGGCATTTTGATGCAGAAAACTGTCCTTTCCTTCTCCTTTTGGTCCTGCCTGGAGGACAAGGATGAAAGCGGCAGGTGAGAGGCAAAAAAAAAGGCATTGTGTTTGTGTTGAGCGAAGATTCTCAGCGCTGGAAGATTCCCAGTGGGGTATTGCTGTTGTTTTCCTGATGGAGTCAAGCGTGGAATTAATCAAGCTAACAGCCTCCTGCCTGCTGGAATTTGGGTTGTTCCTATAAAACCACTTTTACTCACAACCCACAAGGAGTTTCAGAGACATGAAGCCTCCCAAACCCCTGGAAAATAAATCTCATGAGGATACTGGATGGCAGAATTCCCTACCTGCTCACCCCAAATCCTTGGATTGCAACAGCCTGTAAACACAACTTGCTTAACTGAGGTTTTACTGGGAACTGGCAGGGCAGTGCTGGAGGTTTTGCTTGGATTTTTATTGGCTTCCTGCTCCCTAATTCACAGTTTGAATGCCTGGATAAGGGCCTGGGAAGGAGAGGGAAGAGCCGCAGGGAGGGAGGGGAGAAGGGGATGGCAGCGGCTGGCTGGGGCCGCATTATCTCTTTGCTCGCACAAAGTACAAGGCATTTGTTTTGGGATAATATTTGACATTTTGTTTCTTGTCCATGAGGCCACCAAATATGATCAGCTCCCCTCTGCCTTGTACCACTGTGTGTAAACTGGTCTCGGGTGGTCCTACCACTGAGCTGCTGTTGAACACTTTCCATTTGACTCGTCCTTGTTCCTTGGTGTCCTTAATGTCCAGCACGTACATCTGCATGGGCTTGCAGTTCATGCTCTGGTACAGTGGCTTCCCCACATTGAGGGACTGGGGCGGGTGGTGGCCCAGGCGGCGAGCAATGGGCGGGAGGGAATGGCTGTCGCCTTGGGCAGAGCCCGGCCGTGCTGCCAAGCTTGGCTCAGCACCCGGAGACCCTGGGGATGAAGCCATGGGAGGGCTCAGTGCTGCAGAGGCTGAGGTGACTTTGGAGGAGAGGGCTTTGACGGCCTCTAAGCTCCTGCGGAGTGCGCTGGGGGACACAGCCCCTGGCAGGGAGCTGGCGACGTGGGGTGGCGTGTGGATGCCATTGGTTTGCTCTGGGGGGTTTCTCACTGTCCTGCCATCCACACCTTCCAGCTGGCAGAGGAGGGAAGTCGGTTTCTGCTCCCAGCTCAGGTCGACGGATCCCAAACGGAGGTCCTTCTGCTCCGGCAGTGATCCCCGCCGCGGTGCCAGGGCAAGTCCCACCTTGAGGTCGTATCCTTCTGTGCCAGAAGGGGTGCTGGGCGACAGGACCTGCACGGGGCTGTCCAGGGAGGCTCCACCAGCCGCAGTGGCTCCAGGGGATAAGCTCCCGCCGTTGAGAACAGGGGAACTGTCCCCTCTGGCTGGGGAGAGACTCCCTTCCCTGGATCCCGACGGGGTCTGCCTCTGTGCTCGGGGCCGCAGGGTGCCCCAGCGGCCATTGACGCAGGGAGCTTCGTCTGTGTTCCTGACGGGAGACTGTGAGCGGTACTCCCGGGTTTCAGGGACCAGGGCAGGTGGTGTGGCGCTGATGGGAGAGGGGCGGGAGTTCAAGCTGGGACTCAGCGGGGCTCTTCCGCTGGGAGCTTGGCTGAAGACCACAACGCACTGTCCCACCTGGAAGAGGAGAAGGGGAGATAAGTGGTTACACACATCAGGATGACCCTTTGTGCTGAATTAGGGGAAATAGGAGGGGTTACGGAGCATTCCGGGCAGGGATGTGTATGAGAGACCAGGGATCTCACTCTGTCCGTACCCTGCAGGCAGGATGGCACCACAGTTCTGGGGCTCCATGGTCTTCGTTCTCCACCTTGAGTGGCTGCCAGGCCCAGGGGTTGGCCTGCATGTGCAGCAACCAGGCGTCTTTGAACAACTGTGAAGGGAAGTGTGACAGATTTAGGAGCCCAGTTTGAGATTTAGGAGCTCAGTTTGCTGCTGAGATCATCCCACCAGGGGTAGAAGTGGCGCTTTGCTCCTGCGGACAGAGGAGTGGTGACCCAGGAGCTGACTGCTTGCGCGTGACTACATCCCACTATGGCCGTGGATAAATCCCTTCATCTCCATCTCCTATCCCAGTATAAAGTCTGAGCTCATTTTTCTGAGGCTCAATGAACCCTGGAGAGCTGCTCAGAGAGCACCTGGGGTGCTTTATTCTTAGATAAAGAAGCTCTAGGAACAGCTAAACAGCTTCTCTGGAAAATCTACCATGTGGGTGCCCAGATATGAGGAGTAAAATGCCACCTGGGTAATGTGCAGAGTCCCCCATCCAGCACCTACAGCTCACGGTAACAGGGAGGTGTGTGCTGTTCATGTCCCTGCTCCCCCCAGGGTACTCACTGCATTGGGACCACCGCAGCCGCCAAGGATTAAAATGGTTTCATTGTCTATCACGATCTGGAGGGGACAAAGAACAGTTTCAGAAAAGGAAGGACTTTTGGACAGGCCTCCAAGGGCAGACAGAGGCAGATTATCAGCTGCTGAATTCTGTCTGCCCTAGGATGAGGAGTGGAGCTGGGATGGAGAGACAGTTTTGCTGGGCCTAAGGCAAGGCAGGATGCAGGGTTCACCTCACTGCCTTGTCTCAGACCAGTTCCTCTCACCAAGGAGAGCAATCACCCTTTCCATAGCTGAGCCGAAGCACAAGGGACTCAACACCCCTCTCCGACGAAGGGGGAAGGTAAAAGGATTGTTTGGGAGTGCAGGTGCTGGCAGCAATATCTGTTAGGTGCTGGTGGTGGGTGAGGTATTCCTTAGGCTCCTTTCCCAGTGTATGGAAAGGCACGCTCAAGCACGATCCATCCAATCTCTGCTGGGTGGCCTGGTAAGATGAACCACACTCTGGGAATCACTGACCATCTTCCTAGGGAAGGCAGGGATGCCAGTTGGGATGGAGACACCTGCATCAAGCCAGGTGACAGCTACGAGCTCCCTGCCCCAGGCAGGCAATTAAACAGGCACTGCCAGACAGTGAGTGGGTACAATCTGGAGTCACGTGATCACAGAATGGGAAGAGCAGAGCAACCAAAGGGCCCTGAGCCAAACCAAGCTGTGATAACTCTTCATTGATCTGGAATGCCAGGGCGTTGAGTGCAGAGTTAAAACAGCAATTTCTTTTCTAGAAAAGTTCATTAGAGCTCTGAGTCATGTGCATGACACGGCACAGCCGCGATGTTGGGGAGATCAGAAGTGCACCCGCACAACAGAGATGGTGAGGGAAAGTGAGGGCCCGGTGGGCACAGGCTCCACAAATGACTCGGAAATCAACCTGAAGAGAGCTGCCTGGAAGCTGGAAATGAAGTTGTGCCTGTTTCATCTCTGGCAGCATGTGTGGTACTGAGCTAGTGAAGGAGAGCTCACCTGAGACTGGCCACCACGTGGGTGAGGGCTGGGCCCAGAGATGTTGGGCTTGGACCAAGCCCACTGCTCCAGATCCAGCACCCAGACATCATTACTCCTGCCAGGAGAAGACAACAAGGGCTGATAATACAACCAGGGACTTGAAACATGGGTTCAGGGCAGAGTTTTACAGCAGAATTAGGTTTTTTGCAGGCTGGAGCCTTGGGATTAATCATGAGAGGCTAAAGCAACAGGGAGACCCCAAAATCCTGTGGAGAATTCCTTCTGAAATGCTATGAGCTACCCCAGGACCACCCCAACACTCTGCTGGGGCACTTGTCAGACACCCTCACCCCAAACTTACATCTGTCGAGATCCAAGTGAGCCCCCAAAAACAATCATTTTGTCTTCAATGACACAGGAGGAGTGTCCTGCCATGGGAGGGGGGCCATGGGTGGTCACGATGCAGTTCCACCTGCGAAGAAAAGCAGGAAGACATTCACCATTGGGTGGGAAAGGAAAATGCTGGATGAATGACAGAAAGAAAAATCCCAGTGGCCAGCAAAGTCCTCAAGAACATGTTACAGAGGAAAACCACAAGGAAAACCTCCAAAGATCCAAATAATAACAGAACTAAGTGCTAAACATTTTTAAGGCATGACGAAGTCCCATGGCCAAGTTGGGAATATCTCTCCTTTCAATTAAGTTTGCCCCGAATTCCTTACAACATGGTTTAATTACAGTGTTGTAATGACACTGTCCGAAGTGCACTGGATAATTGATACTGTGGATGATGAAAAGTTCTCAGTGGAAG